ACCGACTAGTAAATTTATCCGATTGTCACGCTGCTCCAGGAAGACGATGGTATCATCCAAAAGACATAAGAATTTATACTGGTTTAGGCTGGAGCCCTACGTCTAGTCTTAGAGATGGTCGAGTGTGTGCTCCTCGCTTGAATGCTCTGAAGTTCTTACAATGGGGGCGCAAGAATGGTGGAAAAGGTAGGAGAATGGAGCTAGAGCTAGAGGATGGACTACCCGAATGTGAGTTTTGAGAGTCCGATGCCTCTAAAGGGCGCCCTGGCTACCCTTATATAGAGTCTAGGGCCAGGTCACATACAAAGAAGGAGGTTCTCCCGACCGAGGGGTCGTGAGCGTGAGGGAGGGAACCTAGCTAACTTGGCTTGCAAGAAACGCCGTCTTAACTTGGTGTAGCGCACGTCTGGGCATGGCTATTGTCATGGTCTTGTGCCCACGTCGTGACATGGGGTGGCGTGGGGCCACTATGTCGATTGTGGCAGCACTATAGGCATGGTGGTGATTTGCCAGCCATCCTAAGCGACGTGGTCTCGCTGTGGCCTTCATCATCACCTCTTGATCTTCTAGGGGCGTCGTATGAGAGTTGGCAGCCGCCCCTAGGTCATTGGTCGTCTTGTTGCTTGCGAAGCAGGTGGCCATGAACTTGAGCTCCGGGGTCGTGGCCTTGGTTGGCTTGGATGGCCTCAAAGTCAAAGCTGCTGTCATGAACCCCATCTCATACTGGATAGGGTCATACACCTGTCTCGTCGGGCCGTATTTGGATGATGGATCATCGTACTGGCTGCCATCGCTTGGTAGTGTTGTCTTGTCTTTGCTGCGTGGCGCAGGGATGGCATCTGACCGAGCTGAGGGACTGTTGTCCCTTGGTCCTTGTGGGGTCAATGCGGCGTGCCTGCTCTTGTCAGAGCAGGTGCGCCTAGCAGAGTCCGATCTCTCCCCGCTCCTCCCATGGGTCAGGATAGGGGAGAGGTCATGTGGTGCTTCACGGCATAAGGTGAAAGCAGGGGAAAGAAGTCGTGGCCAACCCCTGCCTTAGTGTTTGTCATAGGTCCACGTAGCTTAGCTAGGCCTTGATCATTTGGGCTTATACCAGCTTGCATACCATGGGCCACCCGAGCGGTTTACTAATCAGTGTCTTGAGTTACTCGGGGTATCATAACCCCGACAATACCCAAGTCACGAGCACTCCACTGGAGTTGCCTTTCACGGCTCCCGCAGGGAATAGGCACAAGAACCCCTCACAATCGAATGATCGAAGCCGACAACAATCACTAATAGCCGCTCAATGATCCCACAAACTCTGGACCAGCTAGGTGATGGCAATCACCAAGAGTAACAAGAGTTTCACTAGCCCAAATCACCCAACTAGTGCCACAACATGCTAGACCACTAAGCAATGCACTAGAGGCCCTCCAAATCTCACTCAAATGATGAAATCAAGGATCCAAGTGAGTGGAGTGTGTTTCTCAGCCCTCAAGAGGTATGCACATATGTATGGAGTGCCAAGAGAGTGGAAAAGGTTGGCCCCACCATCTATTTATAGCCCCATAAAGAAATCCAACGGTTACCCTCCTGAGACACATTCTGGGGGGCATCAGACAGGCAGCGGCCGCGGCACCAGACAGCCTGTCCGGTGCCTCCCCAATGGCTATATAAACGGTCAAAAATTTTGATTGTTGCTGTGTCAGTGTCACCGGACAGCCAATCCGGCGCACCGGATGACCGGTCCGGTGATCTCTCAATCGCAACTTTCACGTTTTCCTCCCTCTCTAGAAAAATAGGGCGGTGCACCGGACACCTTGTCCAATGACCCCTTTTCACCAAGTTTATAATTTTTGCTACTCTCTGGATATTTAGGGCGGCACACCGGACACCAGTTCAGTGGCACCGGACAGGCTTTCGAGTGCCCTTTGTGGTGCACACCGAACAACAATGTACCAGCCCCTAAAACTTCATGCGCTAGGCAGCTCAGGACCCTATCGGGACCCATCGGATAGGTAGTCCGGTGCCACCCAAACGGTAGCACCGATAGCCCAAAAACATCATTGCAAGCGATGTTAACTCTCAAATATTTTTACAAACATATATATTTAGAGCCAAGTTAGCATTTTTTCAAAGTATTTTTCATAAACCTTTTCGCTTGCTCTCCGTTGTGCACTAGTCCTAAATGCAATGCATAGTTTTCCAACACCTAGTGGCACTACATGACCAAATTGTCTAATAACAGCTCCCCCCTTAATAGTAAGACCATCTATCCTAAATCCGATCACGCACTCTATTGCGTCTTGACCGGAAAAATAAAATCCCTATTTATAACCCTACGCACTCCTCTCGAGACGTGCCAGTCAATTTGACCCTGTAATTGACAAGGAGAGAAAGTTTATCAGTAATTAAGAGCGGAACATGCCGGTGTTGCCAGACAGTCCCGAATGTGCGGCTCCTAGAGCTGATATGAAAGGAGATCGACTAAATAATCGATTCCATCATATTCATGAGAATAAATCGGTTAAAGATCATTGGGTTGTATAAGAAGAATCGGTTATCATTCAAGATAAATGTCGTTATTTGAACAAATATTAATCAATCATAATAAAATGTCAACAATGATTGGTTTATGCTAAGCCAATGATTACGAGTAACCGAACCCCTTTTTATATAAAGAAACAATTCAATACCACTTAACCGTTTAATAAAGATAAATCGAATGAACATGTTAGATCTCATCTATCGCTATGACCAGTGGGACATGAGGCAGAATCATGCAGATCGTAGAAATAACAATAGACTTGATGACCCTAACTCATTACTAATATCAGTGAGGCATGAGGTAGAATCATGTAGGCCATAATACAATAATAAGATTATGGGGCTAACACATCTTTCAACCTATCTTTACTTTAATGGTCTCGTGATGCGAACTGTTTGTGAAAGCACTCGATATCGACTAAAACAGCCGATTCAGGCATAGTGCACAGTTAAAGTCATGCCTTATCAGGAATAGATCTACCAAATAACGATTCCTACTCCACGGTGCTAACAGTGGGGTGTGAGGCAGAATCACACAGGCCGTGATAACGGGCCATGAAATGGTTTTTGCTAGCCAATAAATCTACTCAAGACGCAACATGCTTTAATCGCACGCTATGCACGATCAAGATTGATGTAAAACAGCCGATAAAACGTAACTCATCGTTTAATGTGTAGATTAGATTAGTTTCAGATTAACAAACGATGGACTAAACAAGATATAAGGCCGATCTAGATCAATCCCAATCGGATAGAGTGATATTGCTGTAATTTAGATAAATAATGAAAGCAATAAGCAATATCGGTAACTTAATGAATCTACCAAAGACTGTCATTCTAAGGTAGAGCAGATAACTTGACCTTGATCTAGTTCATGCAGTGGGGGTCGAATGGATCGATGCAGCCATACTTGAACTAGGCAAGAATCGATAACTAACTTATACCAGAGTCGCAGTGGAGGTCGACCGGATCGATGCAGCCGTACGAATAGAGGTATAAGCCATGATGGTATTTACAACAAGCAATGGAGGTCGACCGGATCGATGTAGCCGTACTTGCTGAAGAACTCGCCGAGATCTACTCTACTCCTACTCCTAAGGGGTGGCCGGAGCCAAAAAAGTAAATAACTTGTATATTGGATTGATTGTCTTTTACAATAGCCAGACTTTGATATTTATACCCGGGACCTGCATATGACTCCTGTCTAAGCACGACTCATCACAATTTTTGACCCTAGAGAAAACATTCTGAATTTAAGATAACTTGGACTCCAATCTTTCCCCTTTTATAGAGTCCATCATGTCTCGTTCTGGCGCCGATCGTAACCTTTGTCATTATCTGCCGGCACTGTCTGAAGAAAGCCGATTCCAGTGCTGCATTTGAATCAGCTGATTCTGATCTGTACGCAATTGATTCCCTGCTGACATGATTTTGGGAGCTCTCGAGTCCCTGTGACCCTTCTTCCAAATTTTAGTGTAAACAGCTATCGACAGGAATGTTGCCTACCACTGAAAGTATAACACCGTTAAATCCTGAAAAAATCGCTCCTACGTGGACTCGAACCCAGGAATGAGGTGCTACGGAGGCTTGTTCAATTGATGATGCATACAATATTGTATTAGGGACATTTTGCTTTCCATATACAAAGTTCAAACTTTGAACATACTGTGCCCTGACTAAGTATTGTGACATACATCCACTGTCTCTTGATATACCTTTGTTTTACTGATCTTTCCCAGTACAGGTATCCTTCTTGGATAAGTTCAGAAAATAAAACTCCTGGTCTGTGCTTGACTTTGTCTCTTGATCGATCTCCTAACGCCAAGTAGTTGATACTTCCATCTTCCCCAAAAATCATCCGTGCAAGTCAAACTATCTTAAGTTTAACTAAATTTATAGGAAAGAGTAACAACATCTATGACATGAAATAAGCTACATATAAAATATATTCTATGTATATCTAATGATACTAATTTGATGTCATAAATGTAGATGGATTTTTTAGTCAAATTTTAAAAAGTTTGATTTAAGATAACTTTAAGAATCTATTTATTTAGGGAGAAAAAGAAAGTACTTTAACTATGAATTTGAACAGCAAGTAGCAACCAGCATCGTGCTTCGATTTGACCTCGGATGATATGCCAGATGGGACTTCATACACCGGATGCGTATGTATGCTCAGCTTGTAAAGTAACATAACTTCTTTCCCTGTTGCTCACGCAACAAATGGCCACTTGATGTATAATTAAATATGAAAGTAAAGGGGCCCCGGCCAGCTGGAAAAACGATGCCAGGGGCATGGAAGTCCGGCCTTTTCTACTAAATGCATCGATCTCGAAGTCAAACGTTGATGCAGCCATGACAATCTTGCCGAACTGCGCCCCACGCCAGGATCTCGAGGTCAAAAATAGCTTTGCCAATTGCAAGCATCACAAACACACAACGGGCTTCACGTTCTCAAATCTCGATCAATGGCGCCGGCCGCGCCGCTGCTCGTAGTACTCCTCGTCGCCGCAGAGGCCTTCGCCTATGCGGACACTGATGGCTACGGCAGGTACTCCCGCCTCTTCGCGTTCGGCAACTCGCTCACTGACACGGGGAACTCGGCCATCTTCCCGGTGACTGCCGGAGGACCTTTCACCCGGCTCCCTTACGGGGAGACGTACTTTGGTCATCCCAGCGGCCGGGCTTCCAACGGCAGGCTCATCCTCGACTTCCTCGGTACGTATGTTGTCGTCAAACGCTTCATTCATTCATTCCTATATACAACATGGAAGGCTCTCGATCGTAGTCTTGTGACCATCGACACTCTCACTGACGCAGTGGAGGAACTGAAGGTGCCACAGCCGACGCCGTACCTCGCCGGCAAAACGGCCGCCGACTTTCTGAACGGAACCAACTTCGCGCTGGGTGGTGCGACGGTCCTGGACCCGGCGTTCTTAGCAAGCAAAGGTATAACGTCGTTCGTGCCCATCTCTCTCAGTAATGAGACGAGCTGGTTTCAGAACGTCGTGCAACTGCTCAACTCATCAGACGACTACGGTAAATATTATTTCTTAATTGTGGAAACTAGCTAGACTATCGTTTAGCACTGTATCGTATGATCTATCAGTCAGTGGATCGATCGGTCTAAACTAAAACTCGTGTGTAATTAACAGAGCAGCGTAAGATCATGGTAAGCTCGATCTTCTACGTAGGCGAGATCGGTCTCAATGACTACTTCTTCGCCCTAAGCAACAACTCCGTCGACGTCGCGGCGAGCCTGGTGCCACACATCATCGGCGCCGTCCGTTCGGCCCTGACCGTAAGGATCGGAGTCCCACTTAACTCGGTCTCATCTCAGCGAAATTGCTCATCTGTGTTAGGTTTGATTTCCCACGCCATTAGGCCCAACGGCCTTTGGGCCTTGTTCTCGCGCCCTGATCGGGGGCGCCCAACCCTACATGGTTGGTGGGCCCTCGTTGCACAGTGCTATAAAAGAAAGGTGGAGGTCGGGGCTCGCAGTACGAGGTTCATCGCGCCGCCAGTCACCCCACCGACATCCTAACCCTAGACCCGATCTTGAGAAGGGGCGCTGCCAGTGACGGGAAGCACCACCGACGCCGGCAACGCCACCCCGACGCACACGTCGCCGCCGAGGACGCCACAGCGCCGACTCTCTCCACCGAACGTCGCTGCCGGCGCGCAGATGGCGTCCGTCAACGAAACCCCGGCCGGAGCTTCGACCACTACGGCTTTTGATGGTTTGCAACCTATCACCCCCTTTCTCTCTGTCTCACTGAGATCCCGAACACCTATTCCTACTACCAATACATCCCGATCCAATGAACATGACTAAAAACGAACTCTAACATAATAATATGAAAAGATTATTAATGTTTTCGCTGTGCATGATAATTATTGTTCTCTTTGATTAAATTTGAATCAACGGGATAATTTAATTTTAAGAGAAATGAATTTCTGATAATTTTGATGCGATTATGGTATTGTTATTTTCTGACCAACGTTGTTAATAATAATATTATAATTTTGATCCATGAGAAATTGTGCATTAATTTTACTTCTGCCCAACGGTGATGTAAAATATTTGCATGGATGAATTATAAGTTTTAATTTGACCAACGTTGAGTTAAAGCATGAAATTTTATGTATAAATGTTTCTTACTTACTCTGGTGTGATTTCAGGAGGCAAATGCATTGTGAACATTGCCAACATCCCAACACTCAACGAAACCAATCACCGTGTGTGGCGGGAGAAGTATGAATTGGAACTTGCGTTGGGAGAGGTCGATTTTGTCATCACCTCACCGTGTCCTACCGAGCCAGAGGACCCGGTGAGAGGTGACAATGAATCTGACGCTGATTTCGCTGCTCGAAAGCGTGATCATGCTGAAATAAGAATGAAATATGACCTTGAACATAGGCAATGGACTCTCTCCAACCGCAAGTGCCTGTTGGTAGCCAAAGCCACCATAGAAGAACAGATAAGGGGCTCAATCCCTAAATGTGCTACTGCCAAAGAATATCTTGAGAAAATCAAGAGTCAGTTTACTGGGTCTACCAAGGCCATAGCAAGTTCACTGATTAAGAAGCTTGTGAATGAGAAATTCACTAGTGGTAGCATAAGAGAGCATATTTTGAAGATGAACACTACGACATCTAAGCTAAAAGAAATGAATTTGAAGGAGGAGGTTTTCCTGATTCATTTGATTTTTGCTTCTTTGCCAAAAGAATATGACACCTTTATTGTGAACTACAATATGCAGCCTGAAAGATGGGGCATAGAAAGACTCATCTCGATGTGTGCTCAAGAAGAGGAGAGGATAAAGTCCTCACAAGGTGAATCTGCTCATTTTGTGAAGGATAACAAAAGAAAGAACTTTAATGGCAAGAATTCTAAACTACAAGGAAAACCTAAGTGGGATAAGGCCTCTTCCTCCAATTCACAGGGAAAGAAACCCTAGGATTCTGAGAATCAGCAGTATGGTGGAGCTGAAAAGGATCAGTGCAAGCACTGCTTCAAGAAGGGACACTACAAGAGGGATTGTCCAGACTTCCTGAAATCTCTGCTAAAGAAAGGTGATGAATTTATTACATTTGTAGATGAATCCCTGTATTTATGTTATGATAAATCCACTTGTTGGTTGATTTAGGAGCAACTACTCATGTTGCAAATTCTTTACAGGGGTTAAGTGGGACGAGAACCTTGCAAAGAGGAGAAAGAACGATTAAAGTTGCAAATGGAGTGCAAGCCAATGTTGAAGCCATTGGAGATTTTTCTTTAGAATTGAATAATGGTTTTGTACTTAGACTTAAAGAAGTACTTTATGTTCCCTCTTTGCGTAGAAATTTATTAAGTGTTTCGAAACTTGATGATGATGGAATTGATTGCCATTTTGGTGATGGCAAGTGTAAGATACTGGTTAATAATAAATGTGTTGGTCTTGCCTTCCGACAAGACAAGCTTTATTTATTATCTCTTGCTGAGAATGCGAACAATGTATGTGATGAGAATGTGAATGATTCCCCATCTACCGATGTAACTAAGAAGCGGAAGAGAATTGATACTGTCTCTTCGAAATTATGGCATTGTCGCTTAGGCCATATTTCGAGGGGGAGAATGGAACGATTGGTTAAGGAATCAATTCTCCCGTACTTAGAATTTTCAGGTTTAGAACAATGTATTGATTGCATCAAAGGAAAGTATGTCAAGAAAATGAAGAAAGATGCCAAACGAAGCACAGTAATTTTAGAAATAATCCACACAGATATATGTGGTCCTTTTCCTGTGAAAAGTGTGGATGGTTATGACTCATTTATAACATTCACAGACGACTACTCTTGTTATGGCAATATTTATCCAATTAAAGAAAGATCAGAAGCATTGGATAAATTCAAAATATTTAAAGCTGAAGTTGAAAATCAGCACAATAAGAAAATCAAGATAGTACGATCAGACCGAGGTGGAGAGTACTATGGGCGACATACCCCTTATGGCTAAATTCCTGGATCATTTGCAAGGTTCCTACAGGAAAATGGCATAGTTGCTCAGTACTCCACACCGGGGGAGCCTCAGCAGAATGGAGTGGCTGAAAGATGTAATCGTACCTTAATGGATATGGTAAGAAGCATGATGAGTTACTCCACATTACCGATTAGTTTATGGATGGAGACACTGAAAACCGTCATTCACATACTTAATCGAGTACCAAGTAAATCGGTGTCTAAAACACCGTATAGATTATGGACAGGAAGGGAACCCTCACTTAACTATTTACGTGTGTGGGGCTGTCCGGCTGAGGCAAAAGTGTTTAACCCAAACATAGGAAAGTTAGACTCCAAGACAGTCAGCTGCCATTTTATTGGCTATCTAGAAAGATCGAAAGGATATCGCTTCTATTGTCCTGACAGACATACGAAGATTGTAGAAACAAGACACGCTGTGTTCTTGGAGGAAAACATGATCAAGGGGAGCATGGTAGCACGAGAAATCAGCCTACAGGAGAAGCGGGTACATGTACCCACTCCGATGGTTGAAGAACCATTCTTCACGCTACCTGCTGCTGTTGCACCGATAGTACAGGACACTGTAGTGCCAACACCTATTGCAAGTTCTCCCGTGGCGACAATGAATGAACATGAGGAACCTGTCCTTGAGGAACCTATCCTTGAGGAACCTATAGAACCAAATGTTGCACATGAGGAAGAACAACAACAGCCTAATGTGGAACAAGTGCCGGAGGCACCTAGAAGGTCTCAAAGAATAAGAAGATCAGCTATTACTGATGACTATGAAGTTTATGAAACAGAAGAATGTCAGATAGGGGATGATCCCACCTCATTTGAAGAAGCCATGAGAAGCGACCACTCATCAAAGTGGCTTAAGGCCATGGAAGATGAATTAAAATCAATGAGTACCAATAAAGTTTGGGACTTAGAAAATATTCCTAAAGGAGCCAAAACAGTAGGCTGTAAATGAGTCTACAAAACAAAATATGACTCCTAAGGGAATATAGAAAGATTTAAAGCGCGACTTGTGGCGAAAGGCTTCACGCAAAGAGAAGGGATTGATTACAATGAGACGTTTTCTCCAGTCTCATGTAAAGATTCCTTCAGAATTATAATGGCACTTGTAGCCCACTATGATTTGGAGTTACATCAAATGGATGTAAAGACGGCTTTCCTAAACGGAGATTTGGAAGAAAATGTTTATATGGCACAACCGAAAGGTTTTGTTGTAAAAGGAAAGAAAAATATGGGATGCCGCCTGAAGAAATTAATCTACGGATTGAAGCAAGCTTCAAGACAGTGGTATTTGAAGTTTGATAGAACGATAAAAGGTTTTGGGTTTAAAGAAAATGTTGAGGACAATTGCGTTTATGCAAAGTTCAGGAATGGAAAGTACATATTCCTAATTTTGTATGTGGATGATATCTTGCTTGCTAGTAGTGATATCAATCTACTAATGGAAACGAAGAAATTCTTGTCCTCAAACTTTGATATGAAGGATCTCGGTGAGGCCTCGTTCGTTTTGGGCATAGAGATTCACCGAGACAGAAGAAAAGGGGTTCTAGGATTATCGCAAAAGGCATACATAGAAAAGGTCCTGAAGAAATTTAGTATGCATGCGTGCAGTCATTCACCTGCTCCTATAGTTAAGGGCGATAGATTTGGAGAACATCAGTGTCCCAAGAACCAATATGAAATTGACCGAATGAAAG